TTTGAAAGCACGCCAGATCCTGCAAGCGGAAACCAAGGATATCATAAAAGGATGCAAAAAAAATTAATATCAGAACAATAATTTCTCCAAAACATGTAGACTATTGTCTAGAATTGTAATGGCAGAATCATTTATTACCATTTATGGACCACAATAGAACCAAACAAAAATTGGAAACATTTACAATATTAACGTACCTACAGTGCACATTTTGTGAAAGCTATCTGTATAAGTATCATACTATTTACTAAATATTGAAACTGCTGATATTTGATAAGGGTTTCATATCACTTCTACGGGCACTAACGAGTAATGTATGAAATTACAATGATTTATCTACTGTCATTAGATTAGACCAGACTCAGTCAAACACCACTTTGTTGTAAACTGAAAAGCATAGAGGAAACATCACAATGCACAAATACTACATATGGATACTGGTCTTATGCTCATAGTATAGACTATGGGGGATAAAAAAGTAAGAGTTACAAAAAAAAATACTCACCTTACCAGTTACACAGTCACGATCCCCTCCAGCCACAGAGGCTATCCCATTATTCATTCTAAACTTTTTCTATGTACACGCCTTGATTTGTCTTCTACGGAAGCCTTCTTCGATAGAGATGAACGCAGAGCACCCACTTTCACGTCTGACACCCATCATGTTAAGAAGAAGATATAACCATCCAAGTTTTTATATCATTCCGTACTTCCGTGGTAGATTCAACAAGATATACATGAATATCACAATATTCTGGGAGCTAATCGTGTTTAAACAAGTTACTGAGATGAATAATTGTCCCGAAAGCAAAATAATTATCCACATAAAACTCTTACAACTTATTTTTATAAGCCATTTTGGCATAGGTTTCAAAATTCAGAGCGTATTCACTATTGTCACAAAAACAATGAAAGGTTTGATGTCCAAAATGGCAGATATCAATGTTGCGCTTCTCGGAAATCTCGTGACCGGGAAAGGTCTATTAGAAATTCACTTTTGTTAATATTTTTCAGAACAAATTATTGACAATTTTAAATTATCTGACAAGCAGTTCTCGAAGTATCGATGATGTAAAAGTTGTAATAATCCCTGACAATTAATACCGGAGCCAATTATAATAAATTGGATTCAGTTTGTTAATTTAATGTAAAAGAAAAGGTGTTCAAGAAATTAACCAATTTAAACCTATCTTCAAATGTAAAAGTTGTAATAATCCCTAACAATTAATACCGGAGCCAATTATAATAAATTGGATTCAGTTCTTTAATTTAATGTAATAGAAAGTGTGTTCAAGAAATTAACCAATTTAAACCTATCTTCAAATGTAAAAGTTGTAATAATCCCTGACAATTAATGCCGGAGCCAATTATAATAAATTGGATTCAGTTCTTTAATTTAATGT